ATGTTACAATGATACTATTGTTCTTATTTACGGAAACAATCGTGACAGTCGCGGTAAAATATTTTTACTGGTTAACAAGTCATGCGTATGATAATATCAATAACAAAGCGCCCGTGCGATAGTATAGCGAACTGTTACCTATGCAGTAAGGAGTGTGAGAGTCTGCGACTGTCAACCAATAGTAAAGCATAAACGGGCATCAATATATTGCCTAGTGTAACATATCATTACATCCTTCACGATTGTTTCCGCAGTAAAAAATTTTCATTGGCATTAAAAAAAGAGTATTTGATTACAATCCATTCTGCTCTCTTCTATGTCCTACTTCTACCACTAAAATTAAAAGTTCTTTATTTTTTATCTCATAAACAGCGCGATATTCGCTAAAACGATATTTTCATTGACGACAAGTTCGATAAGCCACACGTATAATTTAATTAAACTGATCTCTATATTCCTGGGGTTTGGCCCATTTCGAGATTGTTCCATTTTATCACCCGTAACAATGATATCTAATATAATATCAGCGTGTAGCACTAATTGGTAGAATAATATAAAAAACTTACACCACACTACGTATTTATTACACACCACTAACAACACGACCCGCCACGATTCATTGTTTCTACTTGTCATTTTTAACAAAAAAATGATGTTTTATTGATGATTTCAACTTATTCTATTAGAATAGATAATAAGAAGATAATTTGAGCATTGCAAAAGTTAAGTACATTCTCTATAATAATACCGAACATTTCTTCTGAGGTGCCAGTTTTGTCTAGTGCCTATTTCACCTAGATAAATCTAATATTTTATTGCTTCATTCAATTCAACGTTGTCACAAAACGATATAAAACATCTTGTCTAAGACTTTCCACTCTACTTAATTCAGTACTACGCCGTAAACGCTGAAAATTAACCACGTCTTCTCGTGCAACAAATGAATTGTTCAATAAATTCGGTCATCGTTTTAAGAGTGGTCAACGCCGCCTCGAACGAAAGGCATACAGTATTTGTGTATTTCAATAGATGTAAACTCAAACGCCTTACCTGTCACAGAGGCTTTATGCAGCACTTAATTTCATGATTAATGACAATGCACTTGTATACGTTACTAGTGCTGACAATTGTCTTGCATTGTTTAAAAGTTTGCAGTTAGGTGTTTTGACAGATAGCTTGTGCATGCCAGAGATAACCTTCACGTCAAGTCAATTACCACGGGAGAGCAAATGATAATTTACCTTGAGATGCTAACGTCTATGATCGACAAGGTAAAAACCTTTTGCGCGGACAGCCATCCGTTTACATGTGCTAAACAAAGTTATTTTAACGTGTGTAATTTTCAGATTTGGTATATAACAAACATTCCTTCTGAAATGTGTCTGTCAGATATCAGAACTCGGAATTTTGAACTACGACTGCTCACTTTCTCAATTGTCAGGAACTGGTCATTTACTTTTCTCGAACATTTAATACTGTTAATCAAACCATTTGGAAAACTTTTATAAAGAATTACAAATGCTCCAGACTAGTGAAAGAAATGTTACTTTTTACGCAAATAAATTTGTTGTCAAGCACAATGCACTCACAATTATTATAATGACTATTACTAATAAATTAAAAACCGAGTACCAATAATAATTGATAACGTATTAATTTTAAGTACGTATTAAAAAATTGCTTTCCCAGCGTTGCTTACTAAACGTCTTACAATTTATAAAGAGGAGGCAAACCAAGTTATCTCATCAATACCTTCCGTTTCCCCGACGTAAATGTATACCCGTTACCGTTTTCGCATTTAGTGCTACCATTCCGAGATGCATGCATATTTGAGCGGATTCCTGTACTATTACATTTTCGTGCAATAACGGTATTCAGATATGTCAAAGTGTATTCTGAACGATAGGCGATGAGGTAATGACACATGGGCAGCAATTTATCAAACTGTTGTTGTGTGAATTCCGATTACGTGACAAGCCATTCATGGTAGTGATACTAATTAATATTAATTAGCCCGAGGGATATATTTGTGGGCATGGTTATTTTTGGAAATATTTCTTTTCCCAAGATCGTAATCGGTGATACACGCAGGCTGATACACCGCAGGTATTCGGAGATCGTAATACTATACGCTGCATAATTTACCAGCTTTTCTTTATTGTATAATAAATTAATTTTTGATTGTCCCTGGCAATCACCGCCATTGACCCTGGTCGATAAACCCTTCTCCCCCACTACAATTGTCTTATACCAGACCCCTCAAAAATGTACTTAAAATTCTGAGTCTTTCTCTAGCAACAGCCCAAGCGCCCTTCTGGCTTTCTATCTCTTTAATAGCATCGGGCATGCTAACAAGGAATGCAAAATAGTCCAAATCAACTCCAACGTCATCTATATTATCGCACGCTCGATCTTGCTTTGAAAAGTCCCGCCAATCGGACTGCAACGCACGTGTGCCCTCGAGAATTAGCGATTCTATTTTCTTGTTTATTTTGTCAGTGTTTTGGGTGATTTCTGCTAAGAGAGTGGATATGGTGGTAGGGGGACGTTCATTAGTGGATTTGTTGTGAGGTTTTAACAACATCGACGGTGTCGGTATTGACGATTTGATTGTTGAAAGTTTAGTATTACGAATGGTTCTATTAGCAGACTTCGCTGTTGTAGCTGTGGTTGTAGTATTTGTGGTAGCCGTAGTATTTATGGTAGCTGTAGTTGTTCTTGTTGTATTTATGATCGGAGTACTAGTCGTACCAGTGGCTCTTATTGTCGTTGAACTCTTACTTATATTTGTATTCATACTAGAGTCTGTAATAATGTCTGTGGTTGTATTAGAATTATCTCCATTAATATATGTAATATTTACAGTTTTGGTTCTATTGTCCTGGTTGTCTCGCTTATTATCCTCCATGTTACTCTCCTCGTCCTCATCAACAGCTTCGACTCCAGCCTGCCCATTCTGTATAAGTTCGTCTAACTTTAAATATACAAACAAACGAAAATCGTCTTCATCCGCCCATTGTCGCACTCGAACAAGCTTTGGTTTCTTCTGCTCTATTTCATACTCTTTCTTTGGCACTCTAGATATCCTAGTCTTTTTATTTTTTCGTCTGTTCCAGCATCCGGTATGAAAAACAGCAGAAGTGTGTATGAAATAGAGGAGCATGAGAAGAGGCAGAAACGATCGTTTGATTATCGAAGTAAGCCCGCTTAGTAGTAAATCCTCTGCGTATTCGATTGAACAGGAGAAAAAGAATTGCGAGAGTACGACTGATATTGAAAAGACGATCGCAGTAAGTAAGAGAAAATTCATTTGAGGTGAATTAGGGGGAGAGAGAGGTGGGGGGGTGTAATATATATAAGCGGGTGAAGGGATGGGAAAAGAAAGTTGATCGTATTGTTTGTTGGGGCAGGGATGATAGACCAGCTGTTGAATGAATATGGTTGTAAATAGGTTGCATGTGGGCTATTTTATATGCGTTCATATGATAGTATATTTGCACATGTTAAACATGTTAACCAATTACCATGCATTGTGTTCTTTATCAACTAGGAATATTGTGTACTCGGCATGCATGTGTTGAATGTAACTTTCGGCTATCAACAAAGCATTTAATACAAGGACAAGATTTCCTTTTTATTATGACAAAGATCGTAAATTTATAATTACCTGCATTAATACTCTTTGAAACCTTATCCTAGACTGTATCTCATGTTTGAGAAGTGTGAAATTTGTCGTTTTCAACCACTCCGACGGAGCGATCGATGCATTGCCACGGTTCAGCCTAAGCCGCTCGATATTACTATCAACGTTGGTGGTGCATCATCAGGGGCAAAGTTGTTTAGCCCCAGCGAGATGGAGGCTCACGCCACAAATTAGTCTTCATCTCCATTTTAACTTGTTGATGAACTTTACAATTGTGGATGTTATCCCGCTCCCATTTGAGCACAAGAATAAGCTTAACCAAAGTCAGTAGTAGTAGTAGTAATTTTCAAGGACATTATTGGTTAAGCAGTGCGTTCCTATAACTATGATACTTTATACACATTCTTCCAACTTGGACGATTCTTCCAAACGTTTTTCCACATGTTCGTTAACAATTCATTCAACGAGCGGTCTTTGGATAGCTCGGGATCAATGCTTTCAAAACATCTGGTCGGTTCATAATCATTTTGCAGGTAACCAATAAACGTTTGGTTTGTAATAGTAAACATTTCTTGCAATTATTTTTAGCCTTGTCGGTTATTGTACTTTCCCCGTAAAGTACATGAATTAGTAATAAATTTCAGTTTCTTAAAACATTAGAAATGTTCATTGTTATTATGCGATCGAGTACGTTGTTTCCTGAAACAACAAAGACTCGACAAAAACAAATGTATAACAATGAGCGATTGTAGTCGAAGAGTACTGTTTCGTGTTCTTTATTAGGCAATAGACTATAGTTGAACATTCTTATCATTGGTTACGACTTGCATAAATTTGAATAACAATAAAATTCTAATATTGTGTTTAATAAAACAAGCCCATTTTCACGCAAATTTCATAGAGCATATGAAAAGACATGCAATGCCAGGCTATGTTAACATGTTTATGCAGAAGCAAACTTAACAGTCACATGTGTTAATTATCGACAAATAAACTTGTGCGTCGTGTTCAAACTTGTGATATGTCAAACAGGTTTAAACTCAATGGTCCGGTGCAAAAAGATATCTCAGATTATTGCGAATAAACTTTTTAATAGTTATCGGAAACATTTTGGTATAAGTTTTATTAAAAATTTACTCACTGAATTCCATGTATTTTCAGAAAAGGATTCGTCATCAGTTTCCTCATTAGATAAATATACATGCTAAAACAACACCCTGATGAGGAATCCAAGTGTTAGATGAAGTGTGATGAAGATGGCAGTATGATTCATCTAAAAACACTTCAGGTCGATTTGGAATATCATTGTTTCCGCCGCGGGGACTGTTGCTTTTGTTAGCGTTTTTAGTAAAATTAGGGAAATTAATCATTTTACCAATTTTTCTTTTGTCTGGTGGTATCAGATTTGAATTGCATGTTGACCATTCTTTTCATGGTCTCTATAGAATTGAATAAATTCACTGTGTTTTGTGCCTGTAAGTTTGATAAGCGACTACGAAATGATACGTTGTTTGGGGATTCATGTAAAATATTCCTACCTTCGCCGTGGCCGTAATAGTAACCTAATGTGTGCAACAAACCAAGAAGTTTCCATTTAGAAAGCGTAAACCCATGTATCTATCTTTTTGGTATTCTGAACAGTGCATCATCTGATTTCCTTGCTATTTGTGATACGTGTTTGTATCATATGATATCAACGGCAAGGTAAAATAAACGCACTGTATATGTTCTACAAGGCAGTAAGTGGAAATGCTTTTTGCATAGCTTTGCATCTTAATCTTATTGTTTCGACGGCGAAATCCAAGTTATTATTATATTGGAGAATGTACTTTACGATACAATAATTTCATTCCTACTCTTTGATATCTTGGAGCTTTTTAATGGAAATGTTTTTAAGAACCAAGGCAGTCATATATTAAAAATTTAACTATATTATGTAATAAAATAAATATAGTAATCAAGCAAGAGAAAACGAGCGGAAGCAAATTCTCAAATCACCTAAGCTTAATTCTTGTGAAGCCACGTTAACGTCACTACAATTGGTCCTAATCCACAATAAACCGTTATTATTATGATTTTCGACAACACTAATCAAACAAACGTTAGTGTATAGTAGAGTTTAATCAAAGGACAAGCGTAATGCCGCTACTCATGCGTCAGATTCGATACCGTTGCTATACAATATATAAACAAAAATGTAAGCCGAAATGTTTACAGTTTATAGGTTTCGATGGGAGTAACATATTTGCAAACGTTATAAATAACTGGCTTTCGCAAAACTGTTGAAGTAATGGTCTACGTCATGTTAAGCGCCCTTGGGACAAAATAAAATAAGATTTTATTATTGCGAAATTTGGGAGATTGCAAGTACCTAAACTGCATAACAGGAAAAATAACCAATAATCTTTAATTTCAGCAGGTAAACATTTGTAAGAAACACTATCAAATTGCTACCTCAATCATTATGTTGAACAGACTAGACTGTCTGGTACTTTTGTGGCAAACTGAGTCTGTTGTCTTTTATTTCCTGTAAAACTTTATTGATTGTCAGAGTTTTTATCCCAGAGTTGCTACACGGAATTGTCAGTATGGTAGACTTTCTAACGATTTTACTAATTAACGGCAATTCAGAGAAAAGGCCAGGAAAAGCGATAAGATTGATGCAGCTTAAATTTCTTAAAGTAAAGCATGTGCTAAAGTCTAATTATACAAGGCTGTGTGAAGCTAACGATTCTTTTCCGATTGGTTATGTTGAAATAACATCTATTAATAGCGCCGATATTTAACTTCTTTTCCAAGGAGTTGATAAAGTAAAGCTTATATGTTGCAATGTAGGATGAAAGTGCATTAATAAATTTTGATATGCATAGTAATCTGCATGTCTTTAATGATTAGGCGTGCAAAAGTAAAGTAAATGAAGAACCATTTAATTGGCATGTTTTGTAATACTATATATTGATATCAAACGTGCAATTTCTTATGATTTATTTTAGTATGCTTTCCAGAATTGAACGCGTACTGCACGTAATTATATTTATGTGATACTGTATAATATTGTGCCACTAATTCATGTCTATAGTACTCGAATCCACTATCGCTATACACCTTTCAAGAATATATTTAGTTAGCCGTAATATTATTTAAATTTACCAGTAATTACCGGTCTTGATATTTGAGTTTCTTAACAACACACCGTAACATGTTTTCCGTCAGACGCACTGTCTGCTAAATTTACAATACATACATTTAACCAACAACGTATTGTAAGCAGATTAACCTTTGCCCAACAAATAATCAATCGCATATGCATAATATTGAAATAATGGTGTTTCAAGAGCCTAACTTTGATCACTGGCTTAACGATTCATAGAATGGTTACATGCAATACTGATCACAAATTCTTAAGTGTGCGTGTTTTATATACGTACAGTATATAACACACAAGCGCAGCTGGAGCACATGTCTTGTTCGTTGAAGCGTCTTGTTAAAACGCAAACTTGAAACCTTCTTGCTTGACAAGCCATTCCTATATAGAACTACAGTATCAACTCCAAAGATACGCGGCAGAGTGTAATCAACAACTGAAGAATTATCGGATGCTGTCAACTACTCGGGTCGAATTTGATAATCAAAAACCACACACTAATACTATAATTAGTCCACAGATATGGTCGCTGGTTGTTGATAAACATTTATCTATGGCACTAGACTAGCCTTGGAACTACTATATTGTACGGCTTACTTCGATCTGTCCATATGTCGTTGGTTGTGTCACTCACACACCACTTACACTTTCTCGGTTAGTATGCTATTTCTACAATGGCATCAGCATCATAAGCTGTATTAGCATCCGAAAATTTAATAATTACGAGCTCGTTCTAACAAGCCCATTCCGCCGTAGCAAGTCTTGAAAACTGTAGTGTAACTGGGGACCTGCATTCGTAGAAAAACTTGTTCCTTAAAAGTTGGCCAATCATAGTTATGTTATATTGTGCTACATTTTGAGCAACTTCTAATTGCACAGTTCTGGGGACGCTTGTTTTCCTTATCCAACGAGCGTTTAATTGTTATTGTGGGGGAACGAGTAAATTAAATCGAGAAGACAAAATCTTGTTGGGAAAATACCCGACATGCAAGTAATTAATGACAAATTTGGGATAGTTCACAATCCTTTAGAGCAAGCTTATTTAGGGATAGCGACAGTACACAGCAATTGTCGATTCCAGCAAAATGTTAGGAATTGTAAAAAACGTGAATTTACGCAAAGATAGTGATATTTTCAAAGGTTATATCAACCATAAGTAACACGTTTATCTGAACATTTTGAAAGTACCGATTCATGCTGCAAACAAGAAATTATTTTCACATGTTTTACCAAATCAAAATTGTGCTAGCTATGTATCGAATAGACAATGTGTAACTTGACTGGTTGAAGTTCGTTGCTATTTCTATCTTCGTTTTAGCTTGGGGGTGTGGTGTGATTTTACCATGTGAAAAGGTCGACCAATCAGTTGGTCTCGACGGTGACATTTAACCCCTGAATTTTCATTTTAAACTGATCGTGACACTTGATTTGATAACAATATCTAAACTTTATAATTGATCAATGTCCTCTGCCTGTCTCAGACTTCCCCCACCAACACAACACGATATTCGAGATAGTTGTACTCCAATAACCTCCTATAATTGTTCACAGATGTGTCCACACGACGCCAAAAAAATATAATACTTTTTTGCATCCCTGCCCAGTTATCGATCACACGATTTGATAGCACAATTCTCTTGGTCTGCTACCAAGAACGAGAGTGCTTTCTATAGTAACAACATAATGTGAGGATTTTTCGATAGTTGGTTATAACGATGCTTTTTCATCCGGTAATGAATATAGTATGAACTAAAAAACCACGTCAATCTAGGTCTTTCAACGTAACGAGCACGACTTCGTCTTCGTATGCTAGTCTCAACCTTTTTGAGAGAGCGTGGGTCTCTTGGTTTGACTATTTCCAAAATGATGTCTTTGCCACTGCGCTCATAGCATTCCTGATGCATGAAATCGTCTATTTTGGACGATGTGTGCCGTTCTTAATTGCCGACCAAATTCCAGCGCTACAGAAATATAAACTTCAGCCAGTATGTTATTTACTTTTTATATCTGTGGGGGATGTTAGAAAAGAGTGGATACAAATCAGCTAAGGCTAGAATATCGCATATGCTGGTATCGTGTTAGGCATCATTTGGCGATTAAAGCAAAAAGTTAACTTTAATGCTTATCCCACTAAACGTTCCGTTAATCCACATTCTAGAACAAAATCAACACCGTTGCAGACCAATGGAAATGCACGAAAGCAGTTCTCCTTAGTCATTTTCTTTACGAACTCCCTTTAATTGCTGCATTCCACCCTTTTGCCACATTTTTTGGAATGGATATCGTGCTTGTTCCTTTCCCCACCTGGCAGAAAATCACATATCAAGTTGCGTTCTTCTTTGTGTTTGAAGATACTTTTCACTACTGGTTTCATCGGTTGTTGCATTATGGACCATTCTATAAACACATCCATAAGCAACATCACGAGTACTCCGCACCTTTCGGTCTGGTAATGGTCGTTGTTTGTTATATTTCATGTCTAACGTAGTATTGCCTTGTCGGTGGATATGCGTGATCCAAAAATGTCTTTATTACTCAGTGAATTGCGCATCTTTATATTTTATCAAATAGGCCGCTGAGTACGCTCATCCCATAGAAGTTCTGATATTAGGCATGGGCACCATTGGCGGACCTTTGCTCTGGGTTGCAGTAACGAATAATCTTCATATGATCACTGTCATGCTGTGGATCACATTACGTCTATTCCAAGCTGTTGATGCACATTCAGGATACGGTACGTTTCTTGTATTTTCATACGTATTCATCGTACGTTCGCTCAAGTGGTATACGAACTTGTTTGATACTTTATTTTATTCTTAGATTTTCCTTGGTCTCTTCGTCATTTTATTCCATTCTGGGCTGGCGCCGAACATCATGATTTTCACCATATGGCTTTCGTCAACTGTTTCTCTACTTCGTTCCGGTGGTGGGATTACATGATGGGCACTGATGGGAGATATAAAGAATACAGGAAGAAGAAAGATGAACAACGAAAAGTTGCTACTGCAAAGAAAGACAATTAATTTAATGTACTAATATATACAAGAGAACGAATTTGGATAGTAATACTTTACGTCTCGCGAGGTGGAATAAATAGAATGTTGGTGATAACAGTAGATATTCGGGTGTTGCTCGCAGCAGTCGTATTACGTTGCTTGCCCTCCTATGAATTGTAAACTGCTATCCAAAAGATAGTTGATCTGCCGACAGAGGTTAAACGCGTCTATGAATTCACGTTCCCGATCGAAACCAGGTTGTTACCCGCAGAGAGAAATGTGGGACTTAATAAAAATTATACGGAATCAATAACTGGCATACCACTTGTTATTATTGATAAACGCGCGAATCTTGTATGTTTGAGAACCCAACTGATACAAGAACTGCCTGCTTGCGGTCGGCAAAATATAATGTTATACAAGAGCTACACGCAACATGGTTTACGTATCTGTAAACGGAATTTCACACTGTAAGCAACAGCACCATTAATACGATTCTCAACACCTTAAACAAGTCACGACGTCAGCTAGATTGCCTACTAGCGTCTCTGCAGGACCCGATGTCTGAAATTACCAATTTTCTCATTCAATCTCTTATTATCTCCAAACCGCCGACGTACTGAAGATGATGATACCGAGCGGAAGCGCACATTCGAATCCGCACCAATGATTCTACGCGTGTGATTAAAAGTTCGTTTATAAAATAAATTTCCATTCAATAACAGCTCAGAGCCCTCATAGAAAACATAGTCTGGAACAAAGCATGAGGCGATTAAGAACTTTTTGCTATATTGCCAGCTTTGTATCTGTTATGGGTGGCGGTAGAGAAAAAGATAGTCAAAAACTCATTGCCGATGGGCAAGCAAAAAGTATGCTGCATGTATGCTAGCACATCAAGTGTATGCCTACTACAAATTGTATCTTATGGATAACGCTAAATTAATCATAGTAATAACAAATGATCCAATGCAATGCATACTACACGTGGAACTGATAGTGGCCTTCTGGAAACAAAAAAAATGGCATTGATGGAAACATTACTGAAAATATAACTTGCTAATGGCAAGGTAATCAAAACGGCTGCATTTTGGATGTTGGTCTTGGAATAATCAAGTAAAAAAAAAAAAAATAGAAACGAGAAAAACAAAACTGGCTTTTTATGTGAAACGTTGACATTATCTACTGCACAACTCTTTTCCTCCCTCGACTATTAATTACACCCTATACATCCTTTCGAGGACTCCGACTCCTTCTTCGATCAGGTTCTCGATCGTCGTCATGTCTTCTTTTCCTTTCATAATCATGACTACCACCACGGCTCTCATGGGTTCTATCTCTCCTGTCTCGGCTATGACTTCTCCTTCTTCTATGTCTATCCCTACTTCTATCTCTGTCTTTGCTCTTACTCCTCTTCTCACGATATTTGTCTCGGCGATATTCATAATCGCGGTATCGATGTGATCGTGAAGATCGTTCACGACTACGAGTACGGCTGCGAGTACGGCTTCCGCTACGGCTTCGGCTGTGACTACGACTATAACTACGAGTCTGATTATTGCTATATAGACCATTACGTTCTGGTGAGTCGCGACGGCCGTTATCGTATGATGGGGATTGCCGTCTATCATGAATATATATGGAGTGAATAAAATAGTCAATACAATTAGTACTGGTGTCTAGACAATAACACCCTTAGGATATCGAATACAAGTACTAATGTTAATATGCGAAAAGAAGATGATGATAAGAACAGAAGAAAAAAAGGAATTACATAATTACAGAATCATACGATCTCTGGTTCTTGCGTTCTACCTCATTACGGGAATTTCGTCCCTAATGACACACTCACTTGTGATGGAGGTCGAAATCATATGGAACAAAACAAATATGCCTTCACAAGGAACTGGCAAACAAACTCGAAGGGGGGAGAATTTATGAAGCAGCGCAATAATAATCCACATACAGGATGCTTACCCTTGAGGAGTTGGCAGAGGTTTAGTCTGTTCCTTGATCTTCTGCTCGATTTCACGAGCAATGGGAACTGGAATGCGAGGTAGTATGGTTCCAAGCCATTTATTCTCTAATAATAACTGACGGGCCACCTTTCCCATAGTTCTGGAAGATACGATTAGGAAATAGTTCCGTTGTAGATAAGCATTAATGTAGCAATTTCCGGAAGTAACAGAAAAGACGACTGTTTTCACAACTAATAATAAACTCACTGTTAAAGAATTAGAGAAACTGGTATTGCCCCATAGAACATACATACATGATGACTGGCCTAGATCCGCCTTGTATTTGAATCTCTTCTTCATCATCCAAATATGGCTCAAACCACTCCCAGAGATCTGCCGGTTTGCAAACATATCGAAGATATAGAAACCCCAAGGCTCTTATGTGACTACAAACGGTTTGATATTAAAAAGTGTTAAATCGCTGCATTTGCTTATGCGTTATTGTTAAAAATGCAAAAACAGTTCAATGGGCACAATTGGATCAGATGCAACATACTTACGGAGAGTCTGTGTGATCGATCAGGCCTTTAACTTGTTTAACAGACAGTCTCAATGTCCATAGCTTGTATAATAAACAAAAGGCTGTCGAAGCTGTTGTCCCCTTAAGAAATGGTTCTGGAAGAAAGGAATATTAAGGATTTAGATGTCGACTCTTACTACATCCACGACAAGTAAAAGCAAATTTTTTGTTGCAAAAACCTCCAAATCCTTATGTGAAAAGAATTTACCGAGAGACTCGACTGTAAGTTAGAGAGTAAAGTATGTTAGAGTAATAAAGGATGAACGTTTAGAGAAGGAAGGAAAAAAGACATATTTCTCCATCTTTACCATGATTGTAAATCTCATCAATAACCTCGTGGTACGTCTTCTTCTCGCTTTAGACAAGCAAGATAGATAATAATCTTAGAAGTGATCCTAATGTTTAATCAATGACCTTTGATAGAAATTAGTACTTACTACAACTGCTTAAAGTAAGGAGATGCCTGAATATTCTGATACAGAATATTGTTCATGTTCATGGTGACTTCATTTCCATACGTTTCTAATTTATTTGATTGCTTCATTTTGAAGAAGGGTATTAAAAGGGGGGAAATCCGTTGACAGGCAAACCAAAAAGCTTACGAGTCGACAACAATTTTTTTTTGGATATATTGTAAGGAAAACTATAGATCACGTTTCGTTATAATTCGAATGTCACACAATGCTCTACATACACCAACCATAAATGGACTTTTCTGCATGCCCCACAAAAGGGGGGAGGTACAATTCTTATTGAGGTCATTACCAATTTTAATCGTCGATTGGATCACAGATTTTAAGTTGTCCGCCAAACATTCATGTGATGGGCTAAATAATTAATATTAACAAGTTATCATGTAAAATAATACGCATTCTGTCGGACGAGTTAGTGACTTGAAGACGAGTCCTGTGAACAAAGATACTTTCGATCTCCAAGGAAATTACTGTTGTCATTGCGCAGTTTGAGATCATATCCAAGTACAACCACACAACCATATTCACCAACTTTTTCATGTTGTATTGTAGTTCTTAATTATCTGATCAATATTTGTCATAGCAAATAAACCATGTAAACAGTGAATTCACTATCTTTGTAACTACTTCGGGTAGATTTTTTTACTACTACTTCTATCCAATATACATATACAGTCAAACAGATAATTTTTGTTCTGCCAAAAGTTTATCGTTGAAGCGAGGGTATCGCTAGATCGGGGTATTTTTTTTTCTACCGATAATAAAAATAAGTCGATTACGGCAGCTTTAATATTAAGCGTTTCTGTACCTTCTGGCTAACAAGGCGAAAAACACTCATTAGCAATACTGCCGATCCTTGTCCTCCGATAATATAGTCACTATTTGCCTATAATAATAATCATTAGTCGTTCATTGCCAAAACCACTTTATATGAAATTCCTTGTATGCTGACATATTGTAATTGTTGGTTGAAGGTCAGTGGTAGGATTGCCTTTAATGTCGTCTGAGGCGTGCTCCGCACATACTCTTGCTATTGCATGACCATGTTGATTTTCAACTTTGGCTTTATAATTAGTTGTATTGATACACTCTTGAATCTTGCATATGTTGGTGAGGGAAGATAGTGATGATGCTGTAGGTGAGCTGGTACTAGTGGGTGTTTGGTCACCTTTCTTCGATAGGAGGACTTGGAGTTCTGGGGAGCTAACTGGAGAAATTCTTATGATATTGGTTAGGGTTTTGAGCTTCAGTAGTCTTTGGGGGAGTTTCTCTTTCTCAGATACTAACTCTCATTCTGTTGAAGGTTTTATTTTTTTGCCAGAGTGTAGGGCACAGGCTCAATAGGGGTTTCCTTCCTTGGGTTCCAGGACTTCTGCAAAGTCTTCTTCATCTCTAATACTAACAAAAACAGAGCATACAGATTCTTTGTTACAGTTAACAGATTCACACATTTTACTTACTATTACCTTTATATTCCTCCCTGAGGGCTTGGAAAAAAATTTGTCTACTTTGAGGGAGCTTCTCTCCTCATCTCAAAGTTTCTTTTTCTGTAGTGTCATACTGCTGAGAGGTTTCTTCCTTTTCTTTAGTCATAGTGACTTTGAGGAGGTTGGACTGTTGGTGTTTTTATTTTGTCACTTATAATGTTTAAAATGGAGTTTAGGTACAGCTTGTATAGGTGTTTAGAATTCTTTTCTCCAGCACTGGTTTTGCAAAAATGCAGAGAAGAAAGAAAGATTTTTGTAACTATTATTTGTATTATTATAGAGTAAACATGGAACAGTAACAACCTAATATCCATATTGTAATTGGGAATGAAAAATAACTGTACCTTGACATTTTTTCAAAATAGAATAAATATGGGCCTCATGTTTAGCATTTCTGACACTTCTTGCTCATTATATGGACAAAGTGAACATTTGCATTTGACTGCATTAGTCAAAAATGGCTGATGTGACTGAAAGTTAACTAATTGAAATAAACTTTTATGTGATATTAAAAATTATAGCATATTTAATATAGGATTATGTCTATATAAAAATATAATATGAAACTAACTTATTATTATATCAAATCTGCAATGGAACCAAAGAATTATTAGAAGTATTTTAAAAAAAAGAACAAGGAAAATCATTGCCCCTTATGTTTTCAAATTAATGGATACCAAGTCTTTGCAGGCATATTTAGACAAAGAAGAAGAAAAAAAATACTTAGTAAATTTACCAATCTTTAAATTACTTCCTTACTTTAAATCAAGGTCATTTTTTAGTTTCTTTAACCTCAATCTGAGCAACTTGACCATTCTGTTGCCCCTTCAATAAATGGGGGGTTTGGGGAAAGCGGTTTATCTTTTGCGTAGGTGTGTTCGCCGACCGGGGGGGTGTTACCAGGCTTAGCTCGTACGTACGTACTATCGCCCACTACGATAGTGTGCAATTAAGACTGAATTAAGCCTCAAGTGACCTATTTTTAATTATGCGCGCTTCTCACTCCCTATCCGAGTTTCAAACACTCGTGAATAATACTAGTTTTAAAATTAAACAGGGCTATCATTGGTTTGTCGACTAGTCGGTATCCGTCACATGTCTCACTCTAATTAAACAATATTTGTCTCGATAATTAATTATGAACTCTCGTTCCGTTATTCACGTAATTGATCAGCGGACAGCTTACTAGCTTGATCGAATCAATGCTATTCCGTTACAGCTTAAGTGAGCCGTTTATTGGAGTGTCCGGTCTAATAATCAATTATTTCGACGATATAATATTAAATTATGTATATTTATAATAAAGAATTTCGGGAGAATATTACTAAGATCAGTAATATTTTACTTATTCATAACAACATACAACATGACAACATGAAGATTTGACGATGGAGGAAGAGCTATTTATATATCCTTTGCGTCGCAAGAAAAACGACTTCTATATAGATTATTACACAGTCGAACCTCGTTATACCGAAGTTTTGTCACGTGATAAACAATATAGAATAGTGATTGGTGTAGCAGATGAGGATCATATGATTTTGGTCACACGATTCGATCAGTAGAGTAGTTATATCTGCATGTAGGTATGATTTTAGCTGTCATATATTTTTGGTTGTATGATTTCAGCCATATTTCATATCTATTGTTTTAAATTCAGTCATCATGTTTATGATACTCGCACATATTGTTTCATCATGCATTTTTCGAACATACGATTAATTGAGACGTAAATATAATTAGAGTAAAGATATTATTCACATAAGTCTCATTATACCGACTATTGCTTGACCTTAGGACTAATTTCGTTATTATTATATACAGGTACCTCACTATATCGAATATCTCGTTATACCAAATCATGGATACCTCCCCCGACACTTCGGTATAACGAGGTTCGACTGTACTATGAAGAACAATTAATTTTAGCGTTTGTGCTGTCACATATTTTGCGACACGCTACTAAATTACATCTATTTCTTTATTTTTATCTTCGTCATCTTCGTGATTTATAATTTCCTTCTTCTCTTCGTCAATCCAACGTTGAATTGCCTTAATGGTGTTCTTCCTTGGGTTTGTTCTCCGTAGGTAAAAATTTCGTTAGTAGACGCTGCAACAGCTTTTCCATCACTAAGTAACTTGTGAATTTCAAGTTAAATGAAAATCTTGGATCCAATTCAGTTCTTTTATCGTATAATCGTTTTAGGTCGTTCCACAACGGTTTGTTCGCTGATGGTTTCATTATTGATGATTTTCTGGACTTCATATTCTTAATTAATATTCCCATATTGCGGAGTTGGCTATTAAAAGTCATGCCATT